GATTTCTGTTTGCTTTATCTTGTTATGGCTTCTTATTTGTTTCTGAGTTGTGTTTAGTGTTGGGGAACATTCATAGTATTAAACTGGGCATCAAGGGGAAACCCTCTCAAATATAGCCATGCCTGTCCAGTCTGTGTGTGTGTGTGTGTGTGTGTGTGTGTGTGTGTGTGTGTGACGCTTCTCTCTTTTGATCACATGCAGTGTTTATTGTCTCATGGTTTTTAATTCTGATTGAACTTCATATAGAGCCCTAATATTTTGTGTAATACAAAGTTTGCAGACATAAACAATGAATTTTAAAATGTGTATATATTTTTGGACGCCCAGAGCTTTTTTTTCTCCCTACTTGGGAGTTTTTGCTTCCTCTCCTCTGCTGTCATCTGGCTTTCATTCTTTCTTTCATTTCTTTGTCTTCCCTTTTCCTTGTTTTTGAATCATTCCACATAAATGATGCAGGAATGTATCAGAACATGCCTTGGGGTGACTCTGCTGTGAAAGACGCTATATAGGAAATAATCGAATTGAACATATATACAGGCTGGGTTATGCAGGAGGCCCCGTTCTCGCCCGGCTTTCAGTTTCCCTGGTCACGAGTGACCATTAGTGTACAGCATCCCCAGGGAGGGACTGAGGAGGGGGACGGGGCATCGTGAGACTCCAGGAGAACCGCACGGATGGAGATTAGCCATGAGAGCAGATCCGAGGGCCTAGTGTAAATTCCACTAAGAGGCGGTAACTGGTGTCACTTTGATAATGGTGTCACTTTGATAAGGCCGAACAGGGCTTATCATATAATAAAATGATTACCTTTTTATCAAATGCAGAAAAGCACCATAGTGGCGGATTCTGTTTGGAAGGGGGGTCCAGGGGAGAGGGCTGCTGCTCTGGAGAGGAGCCAGATATCCGTAACTGAGTGTCAGGCTATATGTGAGGGAGCACTAGGGAGGCTGGGGCACAGCTGCCTGTCCCTCAGGCCTGTGCATGCTGAGGTGTGGGGAGGGGGGCATCAGCTGTAAGTGTAGGGAGTACACGAGTGGGCCCACACCCCCACGGCGCACAGGACACATACCCTGCCAGGACCTTGAGGAGGGAGGATGGAAGCGGAGTGGAATTCTGAATGGAGCCAGGACAGGAAATGACCCCCCCTGACATGTAGCGGCTAATTTCTGTCCTCTCTGTGTAATGCCGTAGGATTATTGCCTTGTTTGATGTGGTGAAAAGCAGGTTGTCATACGGTGAATAGGGGCGGGGCCAGCCGCAGGTTCCAGTGGGTGTGGTCTGTCACTGGCGGCCATGGGCCGTGATCTTAGCCCAGCATGCTTATTACTCCATGCTGACATGGTGTTCCTGGAGGCCTCTGTGTATCTGGGTCTGTTGCTTATGCTGGTGCCCATGATGCTCTCTGTGTGTGTCTCTCTCTCTCTCTCTCTCACACACACACAAACACTCTCCCTGTCGGGAGCACAGACACACACACAGATGAGATATAAAGAGGTTTCTAGCTCACCGTAGCAGCGGAAGGCAGTGGGGGCAGGGTGGCCGCTCTCTGCTGTCCTCGTTCTGCTCTTGCCTCATCCAGCCTCTACAATTCATTGACATTCCAGCGAGCAGGGATCAATGGGTCCTGAGAGGGTGGGGCTCGCGTGTGTGTGTGTGTATGTATGTATGTACTGTATGTATGCATGCATGCATGCATGCGTGCGTGCGTGCGTGCGTGCGTGTGTGTGTGTGTGTGTGTATGCATATGTGTGTGTGTGTGTGTGTGTGTGTGTCCCAGCAAGAGGGTCGCCCTGGGAGGAATCTGTGCACTGACAGGCATATGGGGCTAGTTTATTATGGCCTGTCTGCAGGGCCAAAGATGAGGTGGAGAAAAGGGAGAATAAAGGATGTCAGTAAGACTCACACACCAGGCAGGAGACCCACAGATGGGCCGTTTACACTGGAACAGTCATCTGATCCCACGGTAACGAGAACAGCTCAAACTGATGCCTCCATCCCAGAAATTTGACTTCAAATCCAACTCGTTGACTCCACAGTGGCCAGTTTACACTAAATTGAGCCATATCCTTTAGGCAAATATTTGGGGAAAAAATGCAGAGAATTTTCATATCCCCCACATTTCTCAGTCTCATTTGACTATGTGTAGTGTTTATTGGTGGGCTGCCTTTGTTCTGATTGATATTCTTTCATAGTCCTAACATTTTGTACAAACTGCATTTTGCTGGCATTTTCAATCCATATATATTGAATATGGTGAGTTATGCAAAGGACTGAAACGGTAGCACATAAGAGAGGTCAAGCCAGGAGAGTGATCACCCAGGGAGGGCTAAGATCACGGCCTAGGGAGCCTGGTGTTGACGGTCAGGGGAGCGACAGCGAGGACTGGGGGGGACGCTCGGTGCAGATTCCCCCATGATGAGAGGCGCCCAGCGTGCCTGGCCTATTTTTCAGCATCACGGAGAGATCCTACTGTTGGACCGGCGTTGGGGGGGGGGGGGGGGGGGGGGGTGGTGGGGGATAGGATGACAGACAAGGAAAGAGAGAGAAAGATAGAGAGAAGGAGGGAGGGAGATGTAGAAAGAGAGAGAGAGAGTTTTTCTGACCTTATTGTGAGCTTGAAAGTCTGTTTTGTTTCAGACTTTGCCACCTGCTTCTGTTTACTGTCACCTCTGTCTTGGCAACTCTACCCTGTCATAGTAAGACGGTACTTTTAAACTGGGGAAAAACAGGGAGAGAGAGAGAGAACCAGAGCAGAGGGTGACACAGCGGACAGCAGAGAGACTCTCTGTACCTCCATCGGCTTTCCTCTCTCTCAGCTGACACTAAGCCTGGAAAGCCATGCTCTTTGGTGGGGGGGTAGATACAAACATCAGCATGCTATATCTATCAGTGATGCTGTTTTAACATAGAACATAGGACACAGTCACCTGAGTACCCTTCACCTTTCCCAAAAACACACACACTGGGTTAGAGAACAGATGAAGATCTGATTTCCATTCCAGCCGGGCTTCTCTCACGACGTCTTTCATGCTATTCATTTAATACCCATCCGCAATTTATACAACGTATCTGCGGCGCAGCTTCGGTCAGGAGAGGAGTAGCATTCGATATTTCCCCTTTCCGGGACCCGGGAATAAGCAGGAGGGGTGAAAGAACAAAGGCTGTAATTAGGCACCTCAGACAAGGGTTTGGAATGGGCCCATTTACTGGAAAAAGAAAAGCAATATATCTGGGCATTTATGAAAACAGCACTGACACTATGGTCCAGGTGAAACTTACAGTAAACCATCAACAAACCATTTGGTCAATTATTATCAGTGTTGGGGAAGTTACTCACAACAGTAATCCATTACAGACAGAGGTAGAAAGTTCAGGTCCAGAAAGTACAAATCCAGACCAAGGTTTTGTTTCAACCAACCAGCTGTGACTGACTCAACTGGTTGGTTGAAACAAAACCTTGGTCTGGATTTGTACTTCCTGGACCTGAACTTTCCACCTCTCTCTGTAATGGATTACTTTTGTGAGTCATTGATTATTATAAATCAGCTCATTTTCTCTGTCTCTCTCTTCAAGATGGCTATCTACCACGTAACACACACGCACAGGCACACATAAAGTGATACCATGGACGCATGCGAGGCATTCCGTTACACAGGGCAGCATCAGGGAGCAGCTAAACCAGGTGTAACATCATAAAAAGCCAGAAACTGGTAGTTAAACAGTGATGACTGCATGGGCCTAATCATACCCCAGAGTTCAGTTTTGTAAGGAAAAAATGATCCTGTGATGACTGGGGTCTTTTTTTCTGACACAGTGTTGAAAATATTCCCTGAATCCATGGAAAATGTGTGTGTGTGCAGCCCATTTTGTAGCCCTACTCAGCGGGGCAGTTTTTCCTGGCACATGCTTTCCGTCAGCCCCATAGCCAAGTCCGCACGACTGATTAAGGAGATCTGAACAACATATAAGTAACGCCAGAAATTCATTTCATCCTTGTTTTCGTGAAGTACTGGTGTAAAGTGGCAGCCATTTTAGTGTGAAATATAAAAATAATAAGATACCGATATCAATGATAAAAACACATGGTATATTGAGGATCAGCTGAGGTTTAAAATCCGAAGCACATACAGATATAGGAAATTAAAGTACTTTATGAAAGGGGATTTTGTAGGGGTGGTCTTCGGTAGTATAGGGTCACAGCTATGGGGAGATGAGTGAGGATCGGCGTGCGCCGGGGCAGCGATCGGCTGCTTCCCGTCAGAGGCGCATGTAGGCGGCCGATGTAGCGCCACATCGCCGCTCCATGTTACTTCAGCCAACATTAGCACTTTAAAAAGCTCCACGTCACATTTTCCCCAGACGTCTGTTCGTTTGTGAAAGGGGGGAAACATATTAAAATGTAAATAGAATTGTTTCCTAAAGAAACAAACTCCGTTTGTACACATTCAGATGTATTTCCTTTCTTTTATCTTCCCAAACGGGAAATACAGTGCAATAGCTTTTGATATTGATGCAATACGTGAGAATAATTTAAAAAAAAAAAAAAAAAAGGCTGCGTAAAGCTGAACAGCGCAGGTCGCGTGGGGTTATTTAACGGATATATGATATGTAACATAACGCAATCTTCCTCCTGTCTGGATTCGTAGAAACAAGATGGTGCCGGGGGGAGTGAAGGTTTTCCTGGCTTTTTCCACACTTCTGTCTATGTCACAAAGAACCGTTGGCTTCAGGTTAAATAGTGGCTGGACTATGATTTGGGAGGTTTGTTTGCAGAGTGGTGTGGTGTGAGATTTATTGGCTGAGTGGTTATGGATGGATGGATGGATGGAAGGATGGAGCAGAAACTGAAAAGCGATGGTTTATTCATTCTGCACTCGCCTTTGTTTACCTGTCAGCCCGGGAGGGATAACAGCAGCTGATCGTCGTGTCCCACAGTGTGTTATCTATACAATGTAACATTAGAGTGAAAGCTGCCTCGTTTGTTTCCCTTCCTTGTACAGGAACCTACCAGGGCCAGTGGGTGGGCGGCATGCGGCACGGCTATGGCGTCCGGCAGAGCGTCCCTTACGGCATGGCGGCCGTCATCCGCTCGCCACTGCGTACCTCCATAAACTCGCTGCGCTCGGAGCACAGCAACGGCACCGTGCTGCACCCGGACGGTGGCAGCGGGGGAGGGGGCGGGCCAGGCGGCGCGGCGGCAGGCAGCCCGGCCGTGTCGCGGGGCGGCTTCGTGCTGACGGCCCACGGCGACGCCGAGCTGCTCAAGGGCAAGAAGAAGAGCCTCTTCCGGCGCTCCATCCTCAGCGGGCTGAAACTGCGCAAGTCTGAGTCCAAGAGCTCGTTGGCCAGCCAGCGCAGCAAGCAGAGCTCCTTCCGCAGCGAGGCGGGCATGAGCACCGTCAGCTCGGCCGCCTCCGACATCAACTCCACCATCAGCCTGGGTGAGGGCGAGGGCGAGCTCTCCGTGCTGGAGGACGACGTGGACGCCACCACGACCGAGACCTACGCCGGCGAGTGGAAGAACGACAAGCGCTCGGGTTGCGGCGTGAGCCGCCGCTCCGACGGCCTCCGCTACGAGGGTGAGTGGGCGGCCAACCGGCGCCACGGCTACGGTTGCACCACCTTCCCCGACGGCACCAAGGAGGAGGGCAAGTACAAGCAGAACGTGCTGGTCAGCGGCAAACGCAAGAACCTCATCCCGCTGCGGAGCAGCCGCATCCGCGAGAAGGTGGACCGCGGCGTGGAGGCCGCTGAGAAGGCCGCCGACATCGCCAAGCAGAAGGCCGAGATCGCCCTGTCCAGGTACGGCCGTGAACCACGTGCGCAGCGTTCGCAGGTCGGTGCTTGTGCCGAAAGGATGTTCCTTGGAGCCGCAGGCTCCCGTGAGCGACAGAAAGGCAACGTGTGGGACTAACTCCTTGGTGAGAATGAGAGCCTTTCTGTTGGGAATAACTATGTCCTTGCGCAGAGATACGATCTGTCTGTCTCCTTTTGAAGATTATGTTGCACGAGTGTTGCATAGACATATAGTGATTCTTGACAAGGTCACACAGAGGCTCCCAGAATGAGGACCTTCTATTAAGGGTATGACTTACTAGCCTGTAAAGATGTGCGCTCGTATAAACACTCAGGGATGCTCATCGTCAGAAGCAGAGAGTTAGACACTTACACTGGCTATATTCAGTGACAAGACAATGGGAGGGAACAATCATGTTATTAATAATGAAACTGAATGATGACAAAAACTATAAGCTGCATATGACCTGCTTTGTGTGCTTTTAAATTCAATCTGTCAGTCTTAGGCATTCATGCATTCAGTTATTACATAACTTGCAATAAAAAAAAAACACTTTAGTACAGTACTGCACACTACAGCTTGCATAAATGAATAGTACAAAAGTGCATGGCCTCATTGCACGGACTCACCCGGTGAGCTTTACACACCAGCGCTCACCACATTCCTCTTGTTTTCTCTACTCTACCTGCTCATTTTCTCTATTGGCTAGAAAGACAGATGGCGGAGTGCAGGAGAAGGAACGGGTGGAGGAATGGGTGGGCCTCCTATTTAAGGTGTTTGTGCCGGTCACCCGAGGTGTCGCTTTGTCGTGTTCCATCTAGCAGCAACTTCCAAACTTCAGCCTCACAGGCGGAGCCAACTCGAATTAAAATCCGAATTTCAGGATGAAATAACGAGGGACAGATGGGCAAGAGAAAGGCGGATGGAAAAAGCACAGGAGTGAGAGAGAGAGAGAGAGAACGAGGGAACGGAGGGAGGGGGTAGAGAGAGGGAGTCAGAAAGAGAAAGAGAGACAGAGAAAGAGATTTCCGCATTATGCCAGAACACTGTTGGCTGCCGGCCCGAGAGAGAGAGAGAGAGAGAGAGAGTGCCAGATACAGAACAGACTGGACTGGCCAGCTCACAGACCGTGGCACACACACACCCCCACACACACATATAACACATAGAGCCACCCACAAACTTATGCATACATGCATATACACACATGCCCAAGCAGTCACTGCACAGACATGTGATGTACTGTGGGTGTTAAATGCTACATGTACCCTATGACGAAGCGCGGGGGGGTGGCGGTCTGCTCTGTTGGCCGTGGCAGGTGGCTACACGCTGGGCCGGGAGAGGAGCAGTATATCCCCCCTCCCGAGGCGAGCGAGAGCTTCTCTGGACCAGTCACACATGGGCTGGGGGGGGCGGTTAGTTCCTGCCTGGTGGGATCCAGCGCAGCCTACCTTATGGAGCGGCCAGTTTCCGCAGCAGCGGAGCTCATGGGGGCCTGGCAGTGCTAGGGAGGGGCCTGCCCTCTGTCCAGCAGCCCCGCAGAGCCGCTCCGAGGGGTACGACCGTGATGAGGGCGCTCTGTGGGCTGGCCCAGTGTAGGATTCAGTCATGGATGGCAGTTAAAGGGTTTAGCAAGGGTTAGCAAATGCAGGCAGACGTGCGGAGCTTACGGAAGCAAGCCGGCATTTTGGTAAGAGGCTCACAGACATTCAGGCAGACAGCAGCTGGGGGGGGCATTAATATTGTATACCTGAGAAACGCCATGGCTTATTTTAAGCTGGCCTAAAATACCAGATATAACACACAGAGAGTAAGAGCACATGTTCCATTTGTCTTTTGGGGGGGGGGGGGAACAAAAAAGATAAGTTTTAAGAACGTGAGGGGCGGAGGGGTTTGGAGCAGGAGACGTATTTTCGCAGAACACCTGGAGGGAAAGTCAAGTGGCGCTGAGCTCGGACAAGCACAGTCCAGAGTGTTCCGCACGCATGTTGGCAAGGCTTCGCTGAAACGCTCCACCAGAGGCTTCTGCCACAAAGACGTGGAGTTCTTGACATCTTTGAGCGACTGAAGTAGTTGCCAGGTTGGGGGGGGGGGATGGGCAGGGATCTCTTAATAACTAAAAGCCCCTTAAGTGGCGGTGATCCTGTGGCGGTGATCCTCAAGCGCCATGCGGTGCCCTCATGCCGAGCCGCGTCACTGTGCCGCTGAACACATGGCGGGTACGGGGAGAGGGTACGGGGAGAGGGTACCGGGAAAGGGTACGGGGAGAGGGTACGGGGAGAGGGTACGGGGAAAGGGTACGGGGAGAGGGTACGGGGAGAGGGTACCGGGAAAGGGTACGGGGAGAGGGTACCGGGAGAGGGTACAGGGAGAGGGTACGGGGAGAGGGCAGGGCCTGCAGAGGGGCACTGAGGCCAGGCGGGAGGCGGAGAAAAAGACAAATGCGGAGAGGAAAAGGTGTTGGGGACCAAACGGGCGTGAGGCTGACAACAGCTCTTTCAGCAAAAAAGATAGTGGTGGCACCCCCATGTAGTGTGCATGTGGGATGGCCACGAGCGCCCCCCCAAAATGGCGCATGCGGCTGTAAGGGCCCCCACTCCTGCAGTGGCCCCTAGTGAGCCCTTTCACACACACTGCTCCACCATAAAGCGGCATGATTGCAATCAGGCCTGCAAACAGGGGTCTGTCCCCCAAGAGGCCGAGGGGGGCTGATTTGGAGTGACGGACGGGGGGGGGTTATACAGAGCTCTGCTGGAGGCGGGCTGTGCTTGATCAATAGCTCGCCTCTGCTGGCAGCCAGGCAGCACCAGGCGGGACCACGTCACGCTCTCCGGAAACATCCGCGTCATGTGGCACCTGTGTGTGTGTGTGTGAGGGAAGGGAGAGATCAAGCAAGACACCGAATGAGGGTCAGAGGGATGGCGTGCGTGTGTCTCTGTGTGTTTATGTATGTATGTTCTTCTGTTGGGGAGTAATTAGCTCTCTGACTTAAGTCATTAATGATGTGCTGCAGCCCTGGGTCCATCCAGTTATAAATAGACACCGAAATCCTTTCAGGGTAATTATTTTCGATGTGTTATTCACCTGCATCTGGAAGGAACATCTGGATATGCATAAGTTCTTACATGCTCATCAGCACATTGTGAAGGTAACATGCCGGCACACACGCACCCATTCATACCCAGGCAGCACCTAAATGCTAAGCCGATACTCTCAGTATCATTCATCATGCTAAACTCTGACCTCAGTCCACTATCCTACACTGAACACTAACTCATTCCCTAACGGGGCACACCTGATTTACACATCATGTCAAAACGTATCACTGGACGCGTTAATATTTTATGTTCAAGGGTCACCAGATATAGAAACAGGTCATTTTCTGTCAGGTGAAGGACTATCCTAGCAGAAAATGACCTGTTTCTATATCTGTTCCTTTGGCAGTATGTTTCAGTGTGTCTCACCATGTATGTCTGTCATTGATGGTGTGTTTTAAATGTGCGAAAGTGAGTGTGTGTCTGTCACTGTGACAGTGTGTTAGTGCATTGATTTGAAAATCGGGTGTCTACGTAACAGCATTGTGTGTGCATGTGTGTGTGTGTGAGAGAGAGAGAGAGAGAGAGAGAGAGAGAGAAACAGGTTGGGTCTGTGACTGATGCAAGCTCTCAGTTACAAAGACGAAGTAACACTGAATGGAAGATTTCTTTCCCTAACGGTCTAGTGCTTTCCCTCTCTTAGACTTGCGGTTGCCAGGACAACAGGAGAGAGGAGAGCTGGCTCCCCCTGTAGGCTAGCAGAGGGAAAGACCCAAACTTCCTTAGTGTCTGGGGCAGTATTGTGTGCCTTGCACAGTCCATCCCTAGCTAACGCTGCTATCCAAAGGTAGCCATCTGCACTGTGACTGAGACCGGCACGCTGATTTAGCAAGCTGCCCTTTAAGGTGTGGTGTTAATGCTTAGTGCTCACTGTAGTTACACTCAGCCTTCCATCATTTGTAGACAATTCACAACTGTTTCTGGGATGAGTGTCATTTTTCCCACAATTCCCCCTTAAAAACAGCCTTGCTGCCATCATAATTTTAGAGGAAGTGTGTTTCAGACATTCCAGGATAAAGGCTTAGAAAATGCATGCATGGATGGATGTTTTAGAGTTAAAAAAATGGATTGATCCCGAAAACAATCCTTCATAGGCCTTGTGTGTGTCATGCAGACTCTTTTATAAAGATCATATTACAGAAAAGTCAACAGTGTCAGCGAGTTGATATTGGTGCTTTGTAATTATACAGTTCAAATGATAATTACGTCCGCAGACACACAGTCTCTGTAGTTATGCTTCTTTATAAGATATCGAGAGCTTGCCCCAGCCACAGTAAAAATCTGGAAGGTTTTTCTATGATCTTGCCTCAAAACAAAACACCTCATACTGCAAATTTAGCTATTTCATTTGGTATTTTTAAAAGGCAATTAAGTTAATATGATGAAGCAACTAATAATGATCATTCCACCATATAATTTTTAGTCGATGATTTCTTCCTAGTAAACACGTCCGAGGGCCGAGTGTTTGATGTGATATGCTCCTCGAACATCATATGCACGCATCTCTGTGCTTCCTGATACACCACTTATAGATGTGGCCTTATAAACTCCCTTTCCAAGCAATTTTTATTCTTTAATTTCTGTGGAAGTTGCAATGAGCCTCCAGCTAATTAGCCTGTAGATGTTGATTTTTTCAGTTTTATTTTAGGTTTTCGTAGGGGATCTTCCCCAACACCGCCGGCACCCCTCCCACATCACATCCCCCATATGTCAGCCCCTCAGAGGGGCAGGAGCTGGAGAGGGCCGAGGCCTTCTGGCGGGGTGGGGGTGGGGGTTGGGGGAGCGGACATCGATAACCATCGATGTGCCACACTGCACCAAGACAGTCGCTGCACAAACAAGTCAGTGGGGGAGGGTAGGTGGGGGAGGCAGGGATGGAGATAGTGAGAAAAGCCTTAGTCATCTGCAAAGTGCTCTACAGGGCAACCAGGGGGACATAGCCTGAGGTTCCAGACGGGCACAGCCCAGCTGGTTCGCGGTTCCAGACCTGCACAACCCGGTCGGCCCACGGTTCTACATGCATAGAGCCCTGCTGGCCCGTTTGCAGACATCACGGGCAGGGACAGCCGGTGTCAGCAGCCTAACGAGGAACCGTGGCTTGTGCAGGTGGGTAAAGCTTCCCACGCACGCAGCCTCCATCATCCATAGAAATTCTTTATCAGCCTGAGGGAGCTGAGCTCCACGGCTGGGGTTTTGTCTACAAGAGGGTCTTCTGAGAGGCTCCCTCCCTGTAGGGGTCGCCAGAGCAGTGCTTCTCAACCTGGGCTTTGTGAACTTGGTTACTTTCACTAACCACTAAATGAAATTTAGCATTTAGGACCTTCCTTATGAAGGTAGGCTGCAAACCGGTAGCATTAATAGTAGACTTTGTCACCAATAGGAAGGGCAGATATTTTTACAGGTCATGGTTCTCAGAAGGAGTCCAAAGGGCCACCAGAAAGGTCAGGAAGCCCCACTCTGGTAATCTGTGCTCACCTATTAGATTGAGGCACAAAATGCCACAGACACGGTTCACGACTGTGCCGTCTTCTGGTTCAGACACTCGGGACCACACAGTCTTCTTGTTCAAAGACACAGCTTGTGACCGCACAGTCTTCTTGTTCAAAGACACAGCTTGTGACCGCACAGTCTTCTGGTTCAAAGACACAGCTTGTGACCACACAGTCTGCCGTGTGCTGTAGCTGTCATTTTACAGCATTGAATAAAAATAATTCTAATTGCCTTGACTCAGAGTACATCGTCTGATTAAATCAGGCTTCTCCTGTACTGAAGCGAGAGACATTAATCATGGTTAATCCATCTAGTTCAAAACATATTTATGCAAAATACTTTATGTTTAGAATCATATTTCTGTGTGTAATTTAGTTGATGTAAAATCTATTCATTATTAAGACGTAGGGACAACGTGACAAGATGTTATATATATTGAAACTATCAAAGGTAACAGGCTACATAATATGAAGGCAGTGTGTGTGTGTGTGTATATATATATATATATATATATATATATATATATATATATGTATGCATAGACAGAGAGTATTGTGGAAACGTCATAGGCTGTTAAAGAAAATATTTTTAATTATTTATTTGGGCAGAAAATGCATATTTGCTCAGAAAAAAACATAACATTAGAATATATGCAAGTGGCCAGTAACAATATAAAAGTAACAAGAATTTCTTCTGTTCTCCAAAACATTACTGATGTCTAGTTGGATGGATAGAAGATCACCGCTTCAGTTCCCAAACCACTCCTCAGAGGCACAACAGCTGTTGTATTTAAATTACATAGATCCACCACTAGCAGTCTTAATCTGTTAATTAGATAAATAACTTGATGAGGTGTTGATTAGCCAAAGATGGTATGTTAGGGGTCGAGTCAGCAAATACATGGGTGTATTGGATGGTCGCTGCAAATACTGGGGCGACTTTAGGAAAAATAGCCCCACTGACACAATTTGATAGACATAATATCATAGTTTTCCACCAAGATGAATATTATTTAAACATCATTTTCTTTGGCAGATAAAGACCTTTGTATAATACTGTTTATCACTGAGAATAATCAGGTTAAAGGGGCAGTTCACCCCAAAATTTAAAAAAAAGAAACATATTCCTTAGATGCTGTAGTGCTATCTGTCCATCTAGATTGTTGTGGTGAGAGTTGTCTGCCTTTGGAGATATCAGTAGAAATGTCGGCCTTTTCTCGAATGTAATGGGACTGAATGATATACTTTCTGTGGTGATTAAAGCGGCATTTAAAAAACTCCTCCTACCGGAAATTATGACCCGGTTACTCAAGATAATCCACAGTTTCATTTAGGAACGATTTTCTTTCTACGGAACTCCACACACCAACCGTATCACCACGCCGAAGTTAGCGCCGGGGTGCTCATGACAACGTGACCTGGTGTAAACATCAATGTAAACATCGTCCTCCTCGGCTGCGCGCTAACGTTAGCTCAGCCAATGAGCCGATGAGCCGGACTGGGGTTAGGGACAGCAGCGCGGGGTGCAGTGTGTGTGTGATGTGGGCCGCAGGCGTTCGGGAACCCAGAATTACATAACACAGGTAGGTTTATAACACCTAAAAAAAAAACAATTCACAGGTTCAGGCGCTCAGGAAGTACAGGCAAGGTAGCAGTAGGCTGCCTTTGTTCCCGGGGAATGGATGTGGGTGTGGTCACGCGGTGGTCTGGCCTGGGTGTGGTCACGCGGTGGTCTGGCCTGGGTGTGGTCACGCGGTGGTCTGGCCCGGCTGGCAGGTCTGCCCTCAGGTCATCACTGGTCCATTAACATTTTCTCAATGGGTGGTTTGAGGAACATGAGGACAGAGTTACTTTTCAAGCCCCCTCCCCCAACACCACGTATGCATCTCCTACAGTAGGTGGACCTACATACATTTCATAGACCAGTAAAGTAGGCAGTGTGGGACTGATGGGGTGCCAGCCGTAAAATCTGCAGGGGGGGGCGCGAGGTGAAACCAGGCCTGAATTTTACTATTTTTCTTTCTCAGTGTGGGGCACTGCATTATATTTTTCAAAAAGGGACATATATGGGGAGGAGGGCAGACTCGGATTCTGGTACCGCAGACCAGGTGTTAGGAAGCCCTGTCCAATCGCATGGGGCCACTCAGCTGTGTCACCACTGAATCCATGTTAATTGAACAGACTCTGTGTTGATTATCCATACAGGACAGTTGCAGCGCAGGCAATTCTGGACTCCGTGTGATGTCACATCAATGCTTCCAGTCTGTGATCGATTCATACCCCTGTCTTCTCAACCATTAGCTGTATACCCTCACCCCCATGTGTAATGTTTGCACTTTGCACGCTCTCTGCGTGACACCGGGTTTCCTCCCTGTTCATGGAGTTTGGTGACTTTTTCGTAGAATTTGTGTGTGTGTGTCTGTGTGTTGCAGTGTGTGTGGCAGTGTGTGTGTGTGTGGCAGTGTGTGTGTCTGTGTGT